TGTGCATTTTAATTATTTTACAAATTATCTTCATTAAGAAATTAGATAATTATAACAACCTATAGTTATACTTTTCCATCTGTAAATATGAATTTCTTAAACAATCCTTACCTAAAAACTTAAACATTTGACATAGAAGACTAGGATATTTAATTATGGCATTATATTCTAGTAGAAAAAATATAAAACTTAATTTCTATTTCAATAAAATTATATAAAGGTTTTTAGCAAAAAGAATTCAATTTCAATTTAGATGTAATGCAATTTAGCATGATGCAATTTAAATTGTCTTATGGAAATATTTTGTAATCCGAAAACAACTTTTTAACAATCTAAATTTTAGGTTTCTAAATATTAAATTGTCTTGATGATAGTAAACCATAAGTTAGTTGTCATCCAACTTGTCAAGAATGTGATGGTCCAAGAAGAAATGATTGTTTATCTTGTTTTGAATAATCACACAGAAGATTTTTAGAAGATTTTAGGGAATGTATTTGTGAATATGGAACCATAGATTAAAATGATTAATGTATTAATTATTAAACTTTATAATTTACATTAATTTTAGAGGAACCTAAATAAGAAAAATGCAAATATGGTTTTTTTGAATATGAAGATGATTGTATTTAATGGTATTATTTATTATATATAATTAAGCCCTTCAATAATTAATAATAATTTAATAACATGTTTGGAATGCTTATAAAATCCAAAACAATGGACTTAAACCTTTTTATGCGATACAAATTTATTTACAAATAAAAATGGAAATATAGCAGAATATTTTTAATTTATTGAATTAAAATATTTTTTATTAGGCAATGATTTATAATATTGCTCAGATTGTGATGTTTCAAATCTAAATTATAATAATGTTGAATAAATATTAGAATTTAAAACTTTCTGCAAAATCTCTCAAGAAATAAATAATGAATGCTATTTTTGTGGAAATGGATGCAATGAATGTTAAATTTTATTAACAAATTTAAATTGCATTAAAATATATCCTAGTTCATTTAGTTTTGATTTCCAAAAAGAAAAAACATGTGATCCTCCAAATTTTAAAGATTTTTCAAGTAAATGTTTTGAGTGTAAGATACCGTATTGTTTATATTGTTTCAATTATTTAGCTAGTGATCCTACAAAAACTACCCTTGGTTTTTAACAAAATTTTACATTAGTTGATGAAGAGATTAAGGTAGGATGTGCTTAATGTATAGAGGGATTTATTTACAAATTTTAAACAGGAGAATGTATTAATTAGAGACCTTCCTAAGAAAATTGTCTTCGATCCTTTTTTAATCTATAAAATTAAGAAATTTGCACATTATCAGAAATACATGATTTTAATATTGCTTTTGAAATCATAAACTGTTAAAATCACATTCTAAATTGTTTATAATGTATTGAAACCCCATAATAAACTTTGAGATGTTTAATTTGTGAAGACGGTTTTTATGCTTAAAGTGTTTCAGGAGTCTGTTTAAAATGTGAACATCCAAATTCAAAAAAATGTTGTGAATCTAGTAATTTAGGATATTGGTAATGGTTAGTTCAAGGTTTTATAATGAAATTCTTGCCAAATCGACCTATTTTTACTAACTCTATATTAACCTTTCCAACTTAAGCCACTGAATGCATAAAAGGCTATAAATTATAAAATTTAAATTGTTAAAAATATTGTGATGAAAATTGTTCTGTTTGTGAAAGTTTAAATAACTATAATTTTTCTTGCTCCAGATGCTCATTAAACTATTATAAAGAACCAATGAAAGTTTAAGATGATGGAAAATGTATTTAATGTCCTTCATTATGTCAAGTTTGCTAAAACAGATCAATTGAAGAAATAAAAGTAAACATCTTTTTTAAAATAGAAAATAAATCCTTATATTACTATAACTCCTGAAAATGCCATGTATGCGTATAAATGCATCTAAAAAATTCCTTTATAATAAGTCCAAATAGATCCAAACATACAAATTGCTTAATATTGTTTTGAAAATAATTGCAATTATAATTTAGAATATGTTTATGTATTTTATTATTTAACTTAGAATTTATATTATTGTAACCATTTAGCCTCTAATATGTTACATATAAAAGATATTTATAACTATATATATTCTAATGAGATTGGCCTTTAGAAAGTTACTTTATTATTTTAAATAAAGGCGGACTGTATTTTTGAGGATTCTGAATAATAAATTGAGAATGACTTTAAAGAAAAAATATTTTCTATTTAATAAACTAGTTTGAAGATTTAGAGCAGTAATAATCCTTTAATAATTTCAAATCATTTATACCTAGATATTTTAAAATTTGATTCAATCATTTTGAGCCAGCTATAATTTTAAATTAATCTTTAATTGAATATAAAAATTGGGAATGATGGTTAATCAATTAATTTAAATATTCATGATACAGAATTTTATTCAATAGATAAAAATCTGGCTTAAATGTCAATTAAATCAGATAAATTCCTCAATTTTAATTTGTAAAATATATCAATTTTTGATATAAACATAGAAAATTCATTAATTTTTGATGTAATTTGTGTTGATTAGGGGGATGATCTAATAATTATAAATCTTTTACTTAGAAATTGTAAACTTACTAATTCAACATTATTTTAATTTTAAAACAGCAGGAGAAACATTTAAATCAAACATATCATCATTGATTCTTGTTAATTTTACAATTCAACTTTTGCAAAATTCAATCTTAATTAAAATGAATTTTCATAAGCCACATTTAATGAATTTTCTATAATAAACTCTATTTTTTCAAATTCAAGTCTTATATATAGTACTGAAAAAACTGAAACTGCTATTCATATTAATGAAATCTCCTGTAAATAAAATTAATTTATGAATTCAAAATTCATAATTTTTAATTATGACTTTTACTGTTAAAATTTTTTATTCAAGGAAAACAATGTTAATTAATTTTAATTAATATCATAAATCTCATCCATGTAAAGAAAGTAAGAAATTTAGATGAATAATATTTAGATTTATGAAAATACTGTAAACTATTTTTCTATTTTTATTACTGAATAAAAATAATCTACTTCTTAAGTGATAATTTAGCTAAAAAACTTTTATTTTTAAGATAATGTTATTAATTGTAATTAAGAATAGTAACTTATCATTTTTAATTGCCATAGCTTAATAATGCAAAATATTTTTCTAAGAAATACAACTAATTTTCGATTTATATCATTATTTGCTATTCCTTTTATAAGAATTGAAAATCTTGATTATGAAAATTAAGTTTAGGAATTAAAAGTAAGAATATCATCTAATTGTTTCTAAAATTGTCTTCCTCATTCCTAATTATTAGTAGTCTCAGGTTTTACTGAAATAATATTAAATAAAATTAAACTTTTAAATTAGTTTAGTATAGATTAATCAATTATCTCAATTTAATCAAATCCATTGATTATGTTAACTAAATAAGAATATATTAAATTATAAGATATATTAGTGAATGGAAATATTATTATAAAACAAAATATCGGAAGTACTATATCCTTGATAGAAATAATGTCTACGAAATCTTAAATTATAGAAATAAAAAATCTAAACTTTTATGAGAATGTTTTTCATTAATATTATGAAGATCCATCTGAAACTTTTGCAAGTCTTTTGTATGTAGATTCAAGATCAAGTTTTATTATTTTAAAAAATATCATTTGCACTAATAATTCAATAACAAATTCTTCCTCAGCTTATATATTTATCTTGTCAAATGAAATATAGATTGAGCATTTTTTAGTTAATAATCATAATTATATTGATCAAGAATTTTGGATTAAATATTACGAAGTTGAAATATAAGGAGATTTTAATTAAAATGAAATTACTTATATAATCTCAGACTTATTCAAAATTGAAAATGTAGGAGGTTCTTTATCAATATAAGCTACCAAAATTACTTTGTTTGATGGAGTTTTTAATTTTATACAAGCAAAAGCTAGTCAAATCTTTAACATCAACCTTAAAAGAGATGGAATAGTAATTATTAAAAATTGCAAAATTACTCATGCTTATAATTCCTTTATTTTTAAAACTCAAAATGATGGTGCAATTACAATTAACGCTAAAAAAAGCTTATTTTCACTTTATCTAGAAAATATTACCTTAATTGATGTTATAAATAAACTATCTTCTTCAATATTGACAATATATCCTTCGCCCTCTTAAAATAATGTTCAAATAAAAAATATTATTGTTAAAGACTGTTTTTCTCTTGTGAATTAGATTCTCAATTTTGAATTTGATTTTTAGAATGCCTAATAAAATAATGTAAAATTATAAAATTTTAGAATTTTTTCGACTGAAAATGCCTTTAATACTTTTCTTCAATCTATAGGGAAACTTAGTCTAATAGATATGTAGAAAATAATTAGCAATAATGCAATAATGAATTTTTTAGGATGTTCATTGACTTTAAATGATATTCAAATAGAAGGAATTATATTATCCTCTGTTCTAAAAATAACAGATTCAAAATAGATAATTGTTATGAATACCTTATTTATAAATATATTAACTTTTTATCCCTTGTATTTAGTAGACGTAAAATAAAACAATATTTTAGTATCAAGGATATATTTTAATAATATTTAAATATAAAATCTTAATGATCTCAAGTTCACTAATTAAAATTACCATTATTTTAATTATAATCATATTGGCTTAAATTTAGGTTAATGCAATTCAATAATTAATTATGTAGAGAATAATATAAAAGTGGAACTTATTTAAACTTTTTTTGAAAATGTTCTTGCAAATTCAAATTAGAATGGAGCATTAATAAAAATCAGTAGTTTCACAAATAGAAATATTGTTATTTTTACTAAAATTTAGGTATTGAATAATAATTGTTAATATTGTTATGAAGGTTTATTATATTTTGACATAATAGATTTCAAGCAAATAACAATCTCAGAATTATTTTGCATAAAGAATAATATCCTAAATTATGGTTGTATATTTGCAAAATCGGACAGAAGAGTTGACAGTAAATTTTAAATCGAAGATTCAATCTTCATTTCTAATAATGGTAGATAAGGATCTGGCATTTTAGTTGAAAATTTAAAAGTTAAATTATCAAATTCAAAAATTATTAATAACAACGCTACTTCTAAAGGGGGTGGTTTTTATTTTATAGAAGGTTCTGATAGATTTATTATTTAATCTACAATAATTTGCCATAATAAAGCTGAGGAAGCAGGGGGTATATATTTAGATGGAAATAGTAGTTTAAATAACAATAATTTTATTAAGTCGATTCTCTTATTTAATTAAGCTTAATTGTCTTCAAATAATATTAATGAATTACCGTTACGATTAACATTATCAATAAATTTAAAGGAAATGTTTTCATCAAAACATATAATCGAAAATCATTCCTATTAGGTCTTAACAGTAAAGCCTTTTTAAATCTTATCATAAGAAAGTGTGGTAAAATCACATTTTTTATTAATTCCTAGTGGGTAGTAGATTTAGAATTATCAGATTTATAATTCTAAGCTTTAGAAATATTAATCGTATTTTCATGAATTTAGCATGAAGTTTAAAAATAGTAGGAATGAAAAATAAATAAACTTTAATAATTCTACCTGCAAAATATATTAATAGATTTTTGATATTTAATTATCAAAAGTAATTGAATTAACCTATATATCAATAATAAGTTTTAATCAAGATACAAACAGTTTTAATTTAAGTTCATTAGAATTTAATTTAGACCCATATAATTAGGATAATAAAATATACGAAATATTAATTTATTGTAATACACAATATTAGTAAGAGAACTTAGCCTATAGAATAAGAGTTAATAGTTTCTTATGTTAATTAGGAGAATTTTATATTTTCTCTGGTTGTTAAAGATGTAAATCTGAATAAGGGTTTTATTCTGTGACATATAATACTACAAAGTGTTCAATTTTTGATAAAAATAAATTTGAAGCTATTACATCTAATAGAATTTAATTAAAACCTGGATTTTGGAGACCAAATTAACTTTCAGATTTTGTAGAGTATTGTTATAAAAATGCAATCCATTGTTTAGGAGGATGGAATGTAGGTAATGATATTTGTTCAATGGGACATATAGGGGGATATTGTGAAGAATGCGATAGATTTGATATTAGAGGAGATGGAAAATTCTTTAAAAATTAATAATAACTTGATTGTTAAAAGTGTCAAGAGCTCTCTAAAAGATTTCTAGCTTTTTTTCTTACATCAATTTGGTAAATTGATATTAGATTTATGATAGGGCTGTTGTTTCCACTCTTTTAACAATCAAAAGTATTGAAAAATCAAATTAGCTTTTTGCTTAAATAAAAATAAGATAAAATTTTACAGAAATTTTATTCAAACTCAATTAAGGTAACGTGAATAATATAAATATTTTAGATCATGAAAGTATCTTACTGAAATTATTTTTGAATTATATATGGGTGTTCTCTCTCATATTTACATTTAATATTAGCTTTTCGTTTTCATTTAGCTTTCTTAAATACTCTAATGATACTTCCTATTTTATGGCGAACTATTTTGAATGTTTTTTAGCTGAAATTTCAGGAATGGAATTAATGTACAGTAGAATTTTAGTAATGTTTGCACTTATGGCTAGCTAGATATTAATTATCTTTCTAGGATTTTAAATATTATCAAAATTTTAAAAATCTAAATTTCCTAGCAGAATTATCTCAATTACATGTCTATCTTTGTTTATCTAAAATTATGCCTCATTGATCAATCAGTAAAATTTATTATTATAGTTTAGATTTTTCTAAATTCTAGCAATTAGGAAGATATCAAATTTAAGCTATATATCTGGAGATGTATCCTTGATTTATGGTTCATAAAATCATATTACATGGATATATGCATTTGCAATACCTGGATCATTAATAATAGGATTAATATTACCATTATCATTATTTTTTATTTTGTACATCAAACAAAATTAGCATAATAAAATAAAATTTAGAAGACATATTGGCTATTTATTTAATGAATATAATAAAAAGAACTATTTTTGGGAGATTATTAAATTATGGAAGAAAACAATTTTAATAATTATTCTGATCTATTTTGAAACTCATATCTTTTTAAAAGCATCTCTATTAGGACTTTGTTTACTAATTTACTAACTAATAACTCAACATTATAAACCATATATACTTAAAAAATTCAATGTTTCTGACATAAAAAGTGGTCAGTTCTGTTAAATTGCAATATTTTTAGCAGTCATAAAATACATTTGTGAATAAGAAGAGCAATAAAATATTTAAACTATAATTCAAATAGTTATCATCATTGATAGCGTAATATTGAGTTACCCATTTATTACTGATATTTTGAGAGTTTATTATTCAAAATACAGGTTGATAATTTTATAAATTCTTTGGTAAGCATTTCAAGCTTTTAGACCTAATTTTGTATTTACAAAGTTTTTGAGGAAAAAATTATCACATATAAGTTAAAAAGAAAAGAGGGTTAAAATTAATATTTTAAAAATGAAAAAATTGATATTTTAAAGAAATTTAGGCAACACTTAGTAATTTTATATTTTTATTATAAGAGCGAAAAATAATTATTTATAGTGGACTTCATCATAGACTAGACCAATTTAAATAACTCTGACCAATTTATTATAATAAAGTTGATGATTTAGCTTTCATTAAAAAAAAAAATTTTTAATATAGTAGAATATTTTTGATTTCTTGATTAAATATCTTTCTTCATTTCTAAAATTTTTAACTATTTAATCATTTTTTTCTTAAATTAATAAATTAATTTTTAAATTTGAACTTTCTCAATTTTAGGATATTTATATGGAAATATAATTGTATCTACATGATGATAAATATTTGATGTATGACAAAATTGCTTTTTTTAACATATTTCTTATTGACAGGGTTAACTTTTTAATTCTTCTATATTCATAAAAATTTATAGGAATATAACAGAAAAAACTTCTTAAATATTATTATATTTATTTGATTTGACTCTTATGCAGAATACATATTTATTCATGATGCTTGATCATTCTAATTAGAATCCTTAATATAAGCAAATAAAAAATGTCTCATCTATGTGATGGAAGAGAAAATGATATTGAAATTTCATGAGTTAAAGATAAAGCCAAATCAAAATAACAAAAAGATAAAAATAAATAAAGTAGATATTTATATCTTGATCTAATATGAATAATTCTTTCTTAATTAATTCCTAAGCAAGAATCTTGGCAAATCAAATTAAATTGAAGTTAAAAATATTTTTCCCTTTTCAATTTGCTGGAGCTGCTGCTTGCTTGTATGATGAATTATCAAATATTATGTAATATTTAACCTTAAAAGAGTGAACTCGTTTTCTAAAAGATTTGGAACTTAGATAAACATTATTTTTTATTTGATAATATTAAGAAAATCAAGACTTAGAAGAGGTATTTATTAATTTTTAATAATTTTTTCAATACATCATACTTTAACATTTGAACTATACTTGCCTTTTAACGAATTTTTGATATATTTATCTTGATATAGTGTTTATTTCTTATTGGATAATGAACAATGAGACAATTTTAATTATCATGATCATTTGATAAATTCTGATTTTAAATTTTACTTCATCACTATTCTTAAAATTTTGTTTAATTTTTATAATATTTAAAGATTCTAATACAATTAAAGATTATTATTTCTAAAAAATAAAAAAAGAGAATTGAATCTCTAATTAACCTCCAAAAATATTATTGCATGTATTTATTTATTTAGCATTTATTCATTCAAAAATTTAAATGAATAAATCTAGATTTATTATTGTAAAGAAAATATATATAAGTATGGACAAATAAAATATCTTTTTTCTTTTCAATAAAATATATTTGATAGTCTCAAATTAAAAAATCTTTTTAATTTCATTCTTATGGACAAGGAATTATTAATATAAATAAATTTGGATTAGAGTGATCCAACTTTTCTGAGTTTGAAATTATTGATTCTCTTTTTAAATTTTATTTCTGCTCTCAACTATATTTAAGAGCAGACTTTATTCAGAAGGGTAAAACTTTTTGATTCTGCTTTTTCAATCCCACAATTGTTCTATTGGATTGAATTATGGAGAATATGGAGGTAAATACATGTGAGTTACTATTTATAAATTTCCTTCATTAAATGTTAAGCTTTGTTAACCAATGGATTGTCTAAGATTAAAAAGTAATTATTAATCCCATACTTCCTATTACATATTTGAATCACACTAATTAAAAAGTTCTTTATCACTTACGAATTTTCGTTACATTTAAGACACTAATATACAAGAAAATCCTCCCCCATTACACCGATTATTTTAATTCTTGATCTTAAAGAAGCGCTATCCACTCTGAAATATAACATAAGGTGTTTGTAGTCACTTCCCATTACTCTATTGAACAATTGTTGGCAGGAGAATTCAAATATAAAATCAACCCTTAATATCCAATTTTAAGTAAGTACAGATAAGTATGAGACTCACTTCAGCACATTTTGATGAAATTTTTTCTACCAAAGGGAATAAATGATTGTTGAATGAGGAAGGAAAGATAGAGAGAAAGAGTAAGTTTATAGAGTGAGAGAAATAATATAAGCTACTAAAATATGGAGAGCAATTTGATATAGAAACTTTAGTGAAAAAGTAAGGAGGAAGATAACAGTAATAAATACCGATAATTAAATCAACAAGCATTGATGGTCATCACTAAAATGCAGTTTCTATTTACGATGCAAAAGCTGAAAGTATAAAGGTGATTCTTGGTTAGTAAGTGCCATTATTAGACCTCATGTAAAAGACATTACATATTGTTACTATAAATGTAAAAATGCCTTTGCTGGTAAATGAAAGTACAAATACTTGATTATGGCAGTTATTCGTCTAAATAGGCTATGGGCAGCAATAGGACCTGCAAGTGAGCCTATATTTGGGGATGATATTGCATGTAATTTTAACGGAGCAGATATTATCTATCCAGGATTTGTAGTGCATATTTTAATATCAGGGTTTATTTTTTAACATTATTGATTGAAAATTATTTTTTAATTAATAATTTCAATTTAGGTTTCCAGATAATTCCTTTTTCTTTTCGCTCTTTTTTCCTCTTCTCTATATGTTCATAGCCCTTTTGTTAGCTGATCTCAATCAACCGTTGTAAAATTTCTTTTGATTTTTTTCTCTTTTCATTCACTTTTTTCATCTTTATTTAGACTCTTTAATGGGAATTTATTAATAACCTGGACAAAGTATTATATAATTGATTTTTAAAATGATCTTATAAACAAAACTCAAATCATCTTAAAATATCACGTGTTATACTAAATTTCTGCTAATTGAGGGATAAAAGGTCCTTTATCTTTTCAATTAATTTCAGATTGGTAATTTTTGATAAAATCAACATTTTTTATATTATGCTTAATTATCATTAATTTAGATAAAAATAATCAAATAAAAAAAATTTTGAATGATAATTTTTATTACCTTATCTTATTTACCTTTTTTATAATATTAACCCAAGTGATCGAATATTCAGCATCTTCACTCATACATTCATATATACCAAAATTTCTAAATTGAGAATGATTGTCCCGTTTTTAATAATATTTTTCTAAAGGTCGGTCAATTTCGAATCTTTGATGGTAAAAGAAGTACCATATGAAAAGTTAATAGGCATTTTGAATGAATAATAGGAGAATTAAGAGGATCAATTTGAATAATCCAAAAAAATATGATTTAATAATACTAACTTAATCCAAGGTTGACTTAATTTACAACTAGCTCTCAATCAAAAATTTAATAAATATCTACATAAAATAAATAATTAATGAAACTTTATTAGATGATTTCAAAAAATGTAATATTTTTTGGAGTATCTCGGTTTCATCGAAATAGAGAAGAATTATTATTTGATGAAAAAAGTATAAAGCATGGATTATGGCGCTTTGGAATTCAAAAAATTATTTTAATAGGTTGTACTGACTTTAATTTATTCTAGTAACTACAGAGTTGACTATAAGAAAGTGTTTAGAATCAATACATTAAAAAACTTTGCCTTGTTTTGTAATTTTGTTGAAAAATTAAAACAAATTTCAAATTTAATATTAATTTAATTGATTTCTAATCAAAATTAATAATCTGAGTAATTGTAATCAATATAATCTAATATAATATGATTGGATATTTAAAATTATATCATATTCCTTTCAAAACCCAGAATTTTTATATCTTATATTTATTCTTTTTATCCCTCCAGTATTTTAATATTAAAAATTTAATATAAAAAATAATATGGATAAGGAGAGTTTAAAAAATTAATCAAATTATCAAACATACTAAGTTTTAAACTCATAGCAGATAAAAAAAGGCTGTTTTGAGATTGCAATCAACATTCAGTAATCTCTACTGCTTATGGCTTCGAGGTATGAAATATAAATAGCCTTCTTTAAATTCGGAAAATTTAAATAATTTTAAGTCATCAAACAAGAAAAGTAGTTTTCTTCCATACTATATTTTCATATACGAAAATCAAACTTTATTACAAATGATGGAGTTTCTTCATTAAAAATTTGGTCATCAAATTTATTGGCCTCAATAAAATTTATTTAGAAGTTAAGAGGCCATAAAAGTTCAATTAATTGTTTACTTTTAAATAGTGAAGAAGATATTGTCATTACTGGAAGTAATGACTATACAATTAGATCATGGAAATAAAAAAATGAATAATGGAGCTCTTCATAAATTATTTTTTGCCATAATTCCTTTGTGTATGGTTTATCTATAAATAAATAAGGAAATAAATTGATATCTTGTTCTCGTGATTGTACTATTGTTGTAAATGAGTTTTCTAACTCTAATTAAATTTGGACGGTCTCATAAATTATTTAAGTTGATAAACTTGGTTATATTATAGGTTTTATTTGTGATTCAGTATTTGTCTATTAACCAATTAAAATGAATCTTACTCAAGCGGCAGAATTAAATTCAGTTGGAAATGATAGTTTATATATTTATTAGCTTGATCATGAAAAAAAATATATAAAAAAGAAGTAATTGCTAGTGTTTGGAGATGGAGAGCTTTGTGAAAGCAAGTTTTCTTTTTAATATTGTTCATCAAATAATCTCTTACTTATTAAGAATGGTTCATAAATTAATCTAGTAAAAGTTATAAAAAATAATAAAATTGATAATGAATGTTTAGAAGATCTTTATAATTTTTAATTAAATTAGGTTATTAGTTTCGATCCCACTTATTGTAAAGGAAAAATATATGGAACAATGAGCTCAGATGGATAATATATAATTATTTCTAATTATTCGTAAAAAATAATAGAAATAAGAGAATATAAAAAACAGGATTGATAGAAAGAAAGATGCTGCCTAAATTTTTAAATATGAAACAATTAAATCATTTTTAATATCATATATTAATTTTATTTTTGAACTCTTATATGATGATTGCATTTTCATAATGTTAAACTTCTATTCATCAATAAAATCAAAAAAAATCATTCAAAATATTATTGTACATTTTGAATAATATACTATTCAAAAGTAGTAATTCTATTGAATTAATCAATCATATTTACAACAATAATAAAATTTTAATTTCATCCTGTGGCATTCTGTTATAAACTTAATCTATATTTCATAAATAAAAATAAATGAATTTAAATCTTTATTTTGAGTCCATATTCACCAAAGTAACATCTGCAATGCAATTCACTTTATATTTAGAGCTTTGTTTTCCCTAGAACAATATATTCAATATCGGTATATATAATTTTCTTTTGATAGACATCCTGTATACACTAAATTATTGGGACTAATATGCTATCAAATTTTCTTACAAGCTCTGCCTATTCTATTAGAGGAGAATGGTTATATCTGTGCCATTATCTCTATTCAATATAGAATTATCTTCAAAAACTATAAGATCTTTAGATATCATATTAAATCTAATTATCCTATTATAAAAGCAATCTTTAAATTATAATCTACAAATTAATTTATCAATCTAAGTAGATGTATATTAGTAAAGTTAATTGTTTATATTTTCTATTGTGATATTTGTAGTATTACCCAAAAGTTATAGTTGAGATAAAGGTTTAAGAGTTAAATCATAGGTAAAATTCCCTTGAAACTTATAACCTGTTATTTGGTTAAGATCGTCATTTGAATATTCGAAATTGCATTAAAATCACATCCATCCCCATCTTTTAAGTTATGATCATCACATTACTTGTCGTAATGAACTTAAATTCCATTGCCACATATGGAATCACATTTTTTAGTTTTAAAATTTGGATATAGACCTGGAGTAGATTCACAAAAATTAAAATCTTCTCTAAAACATTAAGTACATAAATTTGATTGTAAATTGCAAGTAATACAATTAGATTCACATATATTACATTTTTCATCAAAAGGATAATAACCATCTATGCAAGATTTGCAAATCAAATTAAAATTACTTAAAGTGAGGCACTAAGTAAATATTTCATCTCAGGTAAAACAAAATGTATACCCATTTTTAATTTTGCATTTCAAGCATCCTTCATCTAAAATACCACTTTCTTCTTATTATTGATTAAGTAAACTCTCTTCAAAAAATGAAACACAAGCATCTCCATCTAAAAGAAAGCCATCATAGCATTGAATGCATTTATCATAATATAGAATCACCACAACTTGTAACACATAAATTTTCAATTGAATTCAAATAGTACCACTTACACAATTGCTAAAATTAAATATACACGATAACTATAACATATCCAAATTATAAGACAATTCATATTCAATATATTTTTCATATGTTTTTCAAAACTCTTTTATTTTTAATATGATACTAAGCATCGTCCTTTTAATCAATAAATGCATTATTCTTCACGCTAATATTTACAATCAAAGCATCCATCAAAAGGATTATAATTTCCATCATCACATTCTTCTTCCCCAATATTTTATCACCGCAGATTGGAATGCAAGGGTTTCTATCAGATTCATAATTAAATTAATCAAATTAATATCCAAGTTAGCATTCAGAAAATACAAAAACAAGAAAATTCTAAATTCCTCATAAGGCAAGTTTTTCTTGATTATTACAATCAAAATCTATAATGAGTTTATTGCAGAAGTCAATTCAAAATAGATTGATTATTAAACTGAATATAAATTGAATATATATGAGTCTTCCCAATTTTAATCTTGAAGTATTTGATTATTTCCTACATATCCTTGTTTAAATCAATACTTTACTAAACTTGATTATGTATTTAAAAAAAAATATTGCGATTTACTTGTGTATCACCTAAGATTACTAATGTTGGAGCAAATTGAAATGCTGCATCTACCCAATAGAATGGTCCTCCAAATATCCTTTTATTTGAAAGATAGCTGAAATATATTCTATCACTTTTTAAAAAATTTTCACTACTATCCTTATTATTTTAAATTGAAAATAAACTGTTTACCCTGATTTAGGTTGTTGATTGATCCTGAAATTCTTTTACTAATTACATAATTCTTAAATCATATTTAATGAAAATATCAAGGCTGTTTAAACAATAATTACCTTCTGTTTTTGTATTATGGACAATCATTGAGACATTAATCAAAAAGGAGAAATTTTACAGGTTTACAAATTAAGCAACTTTATGTATTTGTACATAATTATCAACCCTCTTCACAAGTTACTTAAATACCTATATAATATTAATAAATTTTACTGAAATCTTCATTACATACTAAATCTTTATCATAACTTTGATCTTTTCACATTTATTTTAAATTGTTATATATAACCAAAATTATATTAATATTTATAAATAAATAAATTTTTGATAATGTTCAATTTTATTGAATCGCTTATTAAATTAAATGTTG